CAAACTGACAGGCCTGTAGTTCCCCGGATCCAGATATTCCAGGTGGGGTCTCACGAGAGCTGAGTAGAGGGACAGAATCACCTCCCTTGACCTGCTGGCCACACTTCTTTTGATGCAGCCCAGAATCCAGTTGGCTTTCTGGGCTGCCAGTGCACATTGCCAGCTCATGTTGAGCTTCTCATCCACCAGCACTCCCAAGTCCTTTTCCTTAGGGCTGCTCTCAATCCATTCTCCACCCAGACTGTACTTGTTCTTGGGATTGCCGTGACCCATGTGCAGGACCTTGCACTTGGCCTTGTTGAACTTCATGAGGTTCTCACAGGCCCACCTCTCCAGCCTGCCAAGGTCCCTCTGGATGGCTTCCCTTCCCTCCAGCATGTCCACAACACCACACAACTTGGTGTCATCTGCAAACTTGCTGAGGGTGCACTCCATCCCACTGTCCATGTCTCCAACAAAGATGTTAAATAGCACTGGCCCCAGTATTGACCCCTGAGGAACACCACTCATCACTGGCCTCCACGTGGACATTGAACCGTGGACCACAACTTTTTGAGCACGACCAAGCCGATTCCTTATCCACCGAGTGGTCCATTCATCAAAACCATGTCTTTCCAGTTTAGAGACAAGGATGTCATGTGGGACAGTATCAAATGCTTTGAACAAATCCAGGTAGACAATGTCAGTTGCTCTTCCCGTATCCACCAATGCTGTAACCTCATCATAGAAGGCCACCAAATTAGTCAGGCAGGATTTGCCCTTAGTGAAGCCATGTTGGCTGTCACTAATCACCTCCTTATTTTCTATGTGCCTTAGCATAGTCGCCAGGAGGATCTGCTCCTTGATCTTGCCGGGCATAGAGGTGAGACTGACTGGCCTATAGTTCCCTGGGTCTTCTTTTGTTCCCTTTTTAAAGATGGGGACAATGTTTCCCCTTTTCCGGTCAGTGGGAACTTCACCAGATTGCCACGACTTCTGAAATATGATGGATAGTGTCTTAGCAACTTCATCTGCCAGTTCCCTCAGGACCTGCGGATGCACCTCATCAGGTCCCATGGATTTGTCCAACTTCAGGTTCTTTAGGTGGTCTTGAATCTGATCTTCTCCTACAGTGAGTGGTTCTTCATTCTCCCAGTCCCTGCCTTTGCCTTCTGTGACCTGGGCTGTGCAGCTAGAGCTCTTGCCAGTGAAGACTGAGGCAAAGAAGTCATTGAGAACCTCAGCCTTCTCCATATCCCGGGTAGCCAGGTCCCCCGTTTCCCTCCAGAGAGGGCCTACATTTTCCCTAGATCTCTTTTTATCACTGACATATCTATAGAAGCCTTTCTTGTTGCCCTTGATGTCTGTGGCCAGATTTAACTCTATCAGGGCTTTGGCTTTCCTAACCTGATCTCTGGTTGCTCAGACAATCACTCTGTATTCTTCCCAGTCTACCTGTCCTTGTTTCCGCCCTCTATAGGCCTTCTTTTTGTGCCCAAGTTGTTCCAGGAGCTCCTTGTTCATCCATGCAGGCCTCCTGGTGTTCCTACCTGACTTTTTCTTTGTTGGGATGCACCGCTCCTGAGCTTGGAGGAGGTGATCCTTAAATATTAACCAGCTTTCTTGTGCCCCTCTTCCCTCCAGGGCTTCATCCCATTGCACTCTAGCGAGGAGATCCCTGAAGAGGCCAAAGTCTGCTCTCCTGAAATCCAGGGTAGTGAGCCTGCTGTACACCCTCCTTGCTTCCCTAAGTATCTTGAACTCCACCATTTCATGATCACTGCAGCCAAGGCTGTCCTTGAGCATCACGTTCCCCAGCAGCCCTTCTTTGTTGTTGAGAACAAGGTCCCGCAAAGCACCTCTCCTCGTTGGTTCCTCTACCACTTGGAGAAGGAAGTTATCATCCATGCATTCCAGGAACCTCCTGGATTGCCTATGCCCTGCTGTGTTGTCCTTCCAACAGATATCGGTGTGGTTGAAGTACCCCATGAGGACCAGGTCTCATGAATGTGAGGCAGCTCCTATCTGTCTATAGAGGGCCTCATCCACCTAGTCCTCCTGGTCAGGTGGTCTGTAGCAGACTCCTACTACTACGTCCTCTGTCCCTACTCTCCTTTTAATCCTAACCCATAAGCTCTCAGTTGGGACCTCATCCATCCCCAGGTGCAGCTCCATGCACTCCAACTGGTCTTTCACATAGAAGGCAACTCCTCCTCCTCTTCTCCCCTGCCTATCCTTCCTAAAGAGCCTGTACCCTTCTATTCTGACACTCCAGTCATGGGATTCATCCCACCAGGTCTCCGTGATGCCAATAAGATCATATCCCAACAGGCACGCACACACTTCTAACTCCTCTTGCTTATTCCCCATGCTGCGTGTACTAGCATAGAGGCATTTAAGTTGGGCCCCAGATGAATCTGACTTCCTGGCTGGAGTCGCTGGAATTCCCTTCTTCTGCTCTACAGGTACTTCCAGCATATCTTTATCATTCTTGATATTACCCCCCTCCTTCTTCAAATCTAGTTTAAAGCCCTTTCAATGAGCCCCGCTAGCTGTTGCGCTGACTCTCGTTCCCCTCTGAGAAAGACAAGTCCTATCTAGTGCCAGTAGGCCTGGTGCCATGTGGCCCACCCCATTATCAAAAAAGCCAAAATTGTGGCGATAATTGTGGTCATGTTGATGAAGTTTCTGTTCTGCGGTATTTCTAGGCCTGGCAGTGGATGAATCAATGGAGTGTGTCCGAACCGAAACAACAAGGCGTGTGCTCTTCTGGAAGAAAAAGAAAGTCAATACCAGATGCACTACAAACAGGATGACTGTGAAACACGAAGGTGACCATGATGAGAACAGGGCCCATGTCCTGTTACTTACCCTGAGAGATACAATTCTCCTCAGCTAGGTGCCCCAAGGGACCTCCCAGCTTTGTTGAACTACACTTGCTTTTCCACCACTGTCAGGAGAGCCAGCGTTTCATTGTTTGTCTCTGAAATAAGCACTGGAAACATCTTCTTACTTGCAAAAGAGATTATGATGTAAGAGCACTCTTCCTCTGCCTTGGAGCATCATCACTGGGGATCCGGTGACACTGGCCTTCCAGTCAGTCACAGATCTCACAAACGTTCCTGTGGCCCTGGGTCCAAGGCCAAGTATACTGAACTTGGAATTGGGCACAACTAGAAATGTGTGATCATGACTGAGTCCATGATCTTCTTTCGGGATTGCTCTGGGCTCACTGAGAGTGTTGGGCAGCAATAACACAGTCCCTGGCCTTTGCCTCCTGTTTTCTCATGCCAAGCAGGCATCTAGGTGCAGGATTTCCTTGGCAATGCCAGAAATGTTTCTCAGGAACTGCAGAAAGTTGGTGCTTTGTCTGTAAGAATGGCAAGAGTCGTGTTCTGCAGCACTAAAAACAGGGTTATCGTCACCTCCATCATGTTTTTGTCCTCACTTTATGAGCAATTTCCATTACTCAGGTGTTTACAGCTGGGACTAAAGATCCTGCCTTGCAATGTGTTCTTCTAGAGGACCCTGCTGTATCCCCTGCATATTCCACAGGTTTCTTATGTAGTTTTGAATATCTCCCTGACAGACGTCTGAGACACTTTCATTTGGAAGACTATGACAGACTGCTCTGATAGAGGAGGTGATTGTTTTTCTGAGCTTAGATTTCATTATTTCAAGGGTAGCTTCAAGAAATTAATCTTAGTATATTCTTATATATCCTCTTACAGTTTTTCTTAGAACTCTCTTGTTACATCCACTGTCTTTGGAAGCCTCTGTCTGATGACAGTGTGATGAAATCCCCTTTTAGGTTCCATTTTGGAGTCAGCTGAACGGTCGGTCTCCCTGGTAAAAGGTGGCAGGTCAGAGTATGCAGCAGCTCTGGCCTGGGAGAAAAAGGGGGCTTTTCCAGGACACACAGTCTTCACAAACTGGCTGGAATCAACAAAGGACAACCCTGTGGTGATCGACTTTGAGGTAAGAAAAGAATAAGAAAAACATTGAGACAGTAAAACATTTATCAGTTAGCAGCTCTTCAGAGAGTTCTCTAGGTGTTTTGTCTTTTAAATCAGTATAACGCTGTGTGTGATGTGAAGGCACATACATATGGGCATAACATAAACATAGAAAACATTTATTAGGACTGCTTCTTGTGCATGTCAATTTACAAGGAACATCAGTTTTGTGTCGTCCATGGACAGTGAGAGTAAGAGGGAGGAGAATGAGTGAATTACTCCGGCACCAGCAGGAGCTCAGGCATGGGCAGGGGTTAGTTACTGTGCAGGAACGCAGTGCATGGTGCTGGGAACACCTTTTTTCCCCTTCCCCTTCTCAGGCCTATGTTGCAAGGTACGGCACACAGCTAAACCGAAAAGAAACAGCAGTGCCCTGGTATCTCTGTCCTGCTCGTTCCACGCAGCACGCCATTGTGGTTGTAGCACACTGAGCTGCCTGGCTCAATGGCTGACGCAACAGCGGATTGGCAGCAGCCACAAATTACTCAAAGTAAACAGCAAAACCTGCCTGAATGCAGCAAGTGGTGATCTCTCTGCCACAGCAGCTGCTGAGCTCCTGAAGGCAGTGTAGGGATGTCTCACATGGCAGGAATGGGGTGTAAACAAGCCCCACATCATTTATTGTGTCCTGAATTTTAAGACATGATGTCCCACTTTGTTAGTTTTTCATTGTCTCACAGAGTCCTAAATTGGAGAAATAAAACCTTTATAAACTGGATAATATAGATGAATAGCACTGTCATGCTTCTTTAAAGCATCGATAACTTTCAGCACTCCTGACTCCTGTGTGATATAGCTTCATATGTAGGCTCTAGTGCTGTTAAAATCCTGCAGCTACCCCCAGCAGGATCCTGCTGTGCCTAGGCAACTGCTTACTGAATGGCTGTTTACCAGGTGTCGCCCATTGTGGATTTGGTAAAGAACATGCCATGTGCCGTGACCAAACGTCGTAACCTGGGGAGAGCCCTGAGAGAATACGCGGGCAGGTTTGACCCTTGCCAGTGTGCCCCGTGCCCCAACAACGGCAGGCCTGTGCTTTCCGGGACAGAGTGCCTCTGCATCTGCCAGGCTGGCACCTACGGCAAAAACTGTGAGACACGAGCTCCGGGTTACGAATCAGGTATTTGGGGTGATACTGTCATAATATAAATATGTTCCTTTCAGTATCTAATTGTCAAAGATGAATCTGACATAATGTTCTCTTACTAAATCCGTAGCACTTCTTACCATGTGGTGATGGTCAGAAAGTATAAGAACAAAGGGAGCATTAAAAATAAAAAATCAAACTGAATAGGCACAGCTCAAAGGAAATTATAAGACATGGTAAAAGATTCCTTAGCTACACAATTAAGACAATAGGAAATGATCTGTTCCCCAATAAGGATGAAGTTCAGATCAATGATAACTGATGCAAAAATTAAGAAACTCATTCCTTAGTTATCCCTATAGCCTATTATGCTTAAGACTAAATGGCTAATGGAGTTAAAAATTGTTGATTAAAATGTGTAACGAAAACTTAATTGTCTTAAGGAGTGGGAATATAATCATCATTCTGAAAAATTTAAAGAACAATTTCATGCAAACAGATTTTTGAATGGAAGTGCCATACTTACGGAAAACAGAAAAGACTTTCAGTAATATACTTAGTATTACATGTGTTTATATTCCAGGACCAAAAGGGGACAGAAGGAAAAGCCAGTTAGGCAGCTGCAGGTCTCATTATCTGACCCTGATAAAGAAATATATTGAAAGAAATAACCAACTGAAGATATGCAGTTAAGAGATGAATGTAGAAAGTGCAGAAAAGCATGCAGAAAAGAATAGGTGTGTAAATAAAAATTTTTACATATGCTTCATGATGGCGCAGAAAAAATACCTCGGGGTTAAGAAAAGACAGCAGTGTTTTAGTTTCGCTTGCATGGGATGTAGATTGGAGGTTTAGACGTGGTGTTAGAGCTCAGGTTTATTTAAGAACTCAATAAACGCTGAGCTATCTAAAAAGTTTGTCAGCACCATGAAAACTCAAACATCTTTGTGTGCAATAGAAGTAGAAAACAAGCTGCTTCTGGGTTTGAATGTTACTTGAAATCAAAGCTAGAAAGGAACACACATCTTAGATTTTCATGAAGCAGCTGGAATTTGGCTGACCATCTCTTTGGACACTTCACATTCTAGAGACTATCTACTCCCTTAACAGTAACAATTTTAAATCCTTTGAAAATGGGTATTATGAATTTAGCTTCATTCCTCTCATATTTGGCCTTTAAAGAAACACTGTATATGATACAGATCTACCAAAAGATGGGATTTCTTCTATTTCTTGCAGTTGCCATAGATGGCCGCTGGGGATGCTGGTCTGAATGGAGTTCATGCGATGCTTCCTTCAAAACAAGAAGAACCCGGGAGTGTAATAACCCCTCCCCAATGAACGGCGGGAAGCCCTGTGAAGGTGAAAGGGAAGAAGAGGAGGACTGTTATGTGTCTGTGTTCACGGACAGGTAAGACGATGGTAGATCAAAAGATCTCCATAGTCACAGTGCCCTGTTAATGCTCCAGAGTTAATGGAGCACTCCAGAATGGCTTTGTGACTACATAGGAGAAACAGCAGACAACTCTCCTGTATGCACTTCTATGGTGGGACTGAAAGAGAGAAATGTCTGACAATCTTCACAACCTGCTTCAAGTTTGGATTTATTCATTGTTTATTCCTAGAAAATGTTTGGTGAATTACATACTGAAGTAGGCCTGTAGATCTCTTACACTGCTTTGCGTGGCTTCTTATTCAAAGCCATGGAGAACTTATCTGCTTCTGTTCATGAGAGTTCACAGTTTCCATATTTTTAATATCACATCCTCTACTCTTAGAAGTTTAAGTCTGAACTCAGTCTCAGAGAGAGTTCCACTGAAACTGATGTACCAGTTTTGCACAGTTTCAACTTAAAATCGTAACTTCAACTCCAAACCAGCTCAGTTTCTTGCATCTTCAAGAGCAAGGTAGATTAAGTTTTTCTACTGGAACCAAGAGCTGAAGCAGGATTTTCATTATCCCTGCTGTAATGACTACAGAGGAGATTCTGGAGTGGATAGGAGAGGATTAAAACCAATGGGCTCCACAGTTCTTTGTTATTCATCTCAGTTAGACACTACAGGCTTTACAGCTCCATATTCATAGACCTGATGGCAATAGGTGGGTTTTGACTACGCTCTCTTAAACCCAGCCAAATCCCATGGACTCCTTAAAGACTTTCTCCATATGCTGCTCTTTGCCTTTTTTTTCTTATTCTATAAAAATATTTCATGAGTTATGATGATACAAAGTGTAGCCCTGTATCAATTTTCAATGCTCTCACAATCTCCCTCCTATCAACACCAGCAACTTTTCATGTCCACCATCTTTTATGTAACAGAATAAAGTTTTTTCACCATGGGGGAGTGGGACAGGGTGCACTCACAGCGTTCCTGTCCATTGCTCGTGACATTCTGCCATTGTTACTTGGTGACACTAATGCTTAAGATACATTCTTACCAGCAAATTTTTGCTTTTCAGAAGTGCTCCTTGTATAAATGATGATGAATCCAGGAGAGAAGAGGATGTCTTGATTGGTGAACCTGAGTCTGGATGCTCCAGGCCAGACCCACCAGAAAATGGCTTTATTAGGGTGAGCATGAAAAGTGAGAGATACAGCAAGAAAGTGTAGTAGTTGTATAGCTGGGAAATTTTCAGCTTCTTTGCTACAGGTGCCTGATACCTAAGCTAGCTACTGTGCTAGTGAGCATGTTGCTGTTTAAGTGGCATGCTGTAGGACTCTAGCCCACCGATGTCCACCAACAACTGTAGCAAAGGCAAAGTAAAACCCATTTCAAACAGTGGTCCTTGAATCCTTGTTTTGTAATCATGACAACAGTTAGCGCAGCTGGACAAAGGTATCACTGTATAGATGAGTGGGTGACTCATATTTCGGAGTAGGAAAAGCACACGTTCATTATCATCAGGCTTTTCACACATCATATCATCAGGCTTTTATCATTGCTTCTTTTGACAATGTCCAGTCTCATTACCGTAGATTTTTGAGGGGCCTTTTGGTTTCTGTTTTGTAGAATGAAAAGGACCAGTACGCTGTGGGTGAAGAAGCTGAAATTGCCTGTGTGAGTGGTCATGTCCTCAGTGGCTATCAATTCCTTCAGTGTCTGCCAGATCAAACCTGGAAGCAGCAACCTATTGAATGTCAACGTAAGAAAGAGAAAACTAATTTAGCCCAGCAACAAAACAAAAGTGGAAGAAAAAGACACAAAATAGGTTTTAATACAGGTTTTAACAAAAGAATCTGTAATGATATATGAAAAGATAGCATTTTAAGAAAGTATTTCATGTAGAGGTGGCAAAAACCTACTGAGTCACTACATCATTCATTTTTCAATTCAGAAGTGTTACTATTATGTGCTTTGTAAGGACACTGTAATATTTAGTGCTTTAGATAACCCTCAGATGGATGCTGTGAGGTCCTTCTCTTGTCCAGTTTTGAATATATCTAACAGAAGGACTCAGCTTTTGTTTCCAGACTTACACAGATATCTTGAAGATGATGACAGTTACTCTGAAGAAAATGTTCTTAGAGGAATTTGTCTACCACTTTTTATGTTACATGGATGATGTGTCTCTAACCGCCACCACCCCCTCAGGCTGCAATGAAAATCCCCACAATAAATCAATGCCTTGAAGTATTTATAGTCTAGTTAGGAATTAAGGATGAGAACCGACCTGGGTTTGCTAACAGGAGAAATTCCAGTAGTTTTTTAGAACTCAGTGTGATTTCATTGACTTTGTGTTCATTTTATCAAAAAAATCTACCTGAATATACTTGTGAGCTTTGTATTGCCGTTCATTATAATTGTTTTTTTAATAGCTTCATTTACAAAAGAAAAATTAAAATATGCTGTTAATGCCGTTCTTATTTTTAAACTGTAAAACTAAATTACACTAGCATACATTAGAAACACATTGTAATTATTTTGTTATTGATTGAAAAATATTTTTAAATGTTATGATAGCGCATTGAAAATTTCTAAACTTAATTATGTTAAATATCTATTATTTTTGAATGTCAGTCAAATGTTCAGTGTTACTGAGTGTCTTCATGGCTGTTCAGATGAAACATTTTGACTTGCTGCAAGTATCTGCACACCATAAAATCAACAAGAGTTATAGTTTTGTCTTGTTTATTGCAGCCTCGGTATGCCTCAGGCCACCAACATCTGACAGTGTCACAGTTTCCCCATTTAAGGAACAGTACAACATTGGAGAAACCATGAAGCTGAGCTGTCAAGCTGGATTTATAGTCACTGGTCAAACACAGTATACCTGTGGGAAAGACCTGTCCTGGATACCTCCTATTTTGAGATCAATTACATGTGAAAAAGGTTAGTATGTCTGCAGATACTTTACTGTTTCTGTACTGCTGGTGCTAGCAAAGTTTATTTTAGCTAGCAAGAACTAGGAGCCAGATGGTTGGTTTTAAGAAATACAGTAACTGCTCATTAATTTTGGTTTTACTTTGTCCCTATCTCAATGCCATAATAATTTCAGCCCCAAACTTCTGCATTAAGTTTAGAATTTTGGGGTGCAATATACTGTACATTTTAATTATGAAATTGAGATACTGAAACTGTTTTCTTAAAAACAGAACAAAACAAAACCCAGCTGTATTAGCAAGGCTTTATGAAAGTAATAGGAGAATGCATTCTATTGAAACGTCAGCTTCCCTTCTTGCATAGGATTTTCCAGTGAATTTTGAAAAGACTGATGACTACCTGTGCAAATAACGGTACCAGCAGCTTTTGAAGACAGAAACATGGGATGAACAGAAATAAATCCATTTTAGGTTTTACAGCAGGAGTCTACGATATTTCTGTTCACTTACTAATTACAATAACTCTCACTCTTTTTTTTCAGAAGTGCAAACTAAAATTAGAGGTGTTTGCAATCCAGGACAAAAGCAGGTTGGATCTCAGTGTGTTTGTATGTCTCCAGAAGAAGATTGTGGGTAAGTTAAGTAAGTTCATTAGAAAAAGAAAAGTCAAAGTTTATCCACTGATAAACCAACAGTCCATTGTGACACGAAACAGGAAAAGTAACAAAAGACAAGAGTAATTCAGGCCTGCTCTTTGTTCAGATGTTAGCCAGCTATGCCTCTGTGTCCAAATTACGGGCCCATTTATAGACTATGAAATAAATGAACAATGACATTAACCAAATGGCACACCAGGGCGCATTCTTCCAATCTACATTACCATCTGCTGCTAGAGATCTCAAGTCTTCTTTTTCTTCTCTTTATTCCTGAAATTTCTTATTTTCACTGTCATCACCTTGCTATAATAGATCGTGCCCCTTGTGTTTGAGATTCATCTTCTTCAGTTGAACATGGTGCAAAATACACTGTATGTTTCAGTGTCCAGAGCATATAAAAATACAAAAGACTTGGATTTACTGTCTCTTTACACAACATGACCTGTACAGACCATTGAGCCTTAAAATGAATAGAGGATTTTTAGTAAATGACTGGCCAGGGTGGAGGTGTGGTGTGGGACTGGAGACAGGAAAGATGAACACAGCTCGAATATGAGCTGGGCTGTTGTACGGCTGCCATCAACTCACTTTCCACTGCAGGGCTCCTGTGTAACCACAGACGAGTCCCATCATCTTACAGCACTATGCTCTATCCGCTCCAGGTCCTGCAGTAGCTGGGACAGCCTTAGGTCTTTAGACAGATATCCAACCTGGACATGGCTTTGCTGTGTTTCATCCAATGCTGGTGGAGTATTTAGAAGCACAAACTTGTTCCATAGCCTGCTAAAATAATTTTTTCTTTTCCTTGGGGCAGCCACTACTCAGAAGACATCTGTGTGCTACATACTGTTTCTGAACAGAGTGTGACCAAGCCCAGCTGTCAGTATTCAGCTGAAATGTGCCTTGGAGAGCAGCCATTTCATTTCTTGCATGCTGGCCCTTGCCGTGGTGATTCTAACCTAGACTGGGCTATTGAAAGGGCAAAGCTCTCTATGAATAGCTTGAAGAAAGTTCCCTGTGGCTATGACACCTGCTATGACTGGGAGGAGTGTCCAGGTATGGCTTCTGAACCATGGGATTTATCCAGGCCTTTGGATTTAAAAATTAAATGTACTGAATTACTGAATCATTGCTCCAAGAATGGGATTTAAAGGCATTGTTGTCCATTTGAGCAACTTATGGTGAGAGAAGCATCAAAGTGTGGTCAGTCCCATGTCCCTGCTACCAAGTGTTACACTTAGATATGTGCCTTTTCTCTCAAGCGCAAGCGGTGTAGTGTTGCCACTTCCCATTAGTCAGGCACAAAAGGAACTGGGAGATTAAGGGAACTTTTTCAGGAGAATTAACATTTGAATCTCTAATCACAGAAATGCAATCAGCAATGTTATCGCCCATTCCCTGTGAGGCTACTATAACCACTAACTTGTACTTCAGGAGTTAGCCACACCCTCTATAGCATATAATTAAATTCTGAAATTAAATCATGATAGTACTTAAAAAGCAAGACTGGGGCCATCAGGCTTAATGAGATTTTAATGGTAAAATTTGCAAATACCAATATGTGAAAGCTATGTTTTATATTAAGAGTTTTAATGAACTAGCTAAACTGGTGAACTCCCTAAGAGGATTATTTTATAAACACTGTTGTGCAACTTGGCTATAACTTGGTGATAAGAGCAGCAGGTTTTCCTGTAAAGGTCTAAGGTGCTGGCTGGCTCCATGCACATCAAGCACTTGATGGGAAAAGGCTGAGTGGCAGCCACACTCATTCCCCATCTCTGGATATGTTTAAGAAAAGGGTGGATGAACTGCTTAGGGACATGGTTTAATGGGGGATTAGGGACGGTTGGACTGGATGATCTCTAAGGTCTTTTCCAACCTAGAAATTCTATGAAATTCTATGAAATTCCTTCACTTGCTTCCAGAGGCAAATATGAATCCTTATCACACCTTGTCTATTTATGATAAATAAAGCAAAAGCAGTGTGCAGCAATCGTAAAACTCTGTTTTGAAGATGCAAGGTTTCTGCAGCACGAGATTTGAAGTAGGTGGCTCTAAAATTACCGCATGAGATGTTGTTCCTTGTGGGGCTGAAGCAGAGGGCACAACTAGGTGTACTCCTTGAGGGACATGCTGTGTTGAAGACTCTAAGCACCTTGGGCTCCTGAGAAGGTGGTTATAATTTAAAAAAATATTGGTGCGATTTATTCCAGAGCCCCTAAGAAGACTGGATCTGCTCCCACTGTGAAAGTGGCTTAAAGCTGGATCCTGTGCCAGCACGTCAGTGTCTTAAAAACTTTCAGAGGAACCCTGTTCAGTGAGGAAAAATGAGAGAGAGAGGAGAAAATACATTAAATAAAATAAGTTTTCATTGTGGTGCTCAAGAGGTTTGAATTGGACTTTGCTCCATTTCCACGAAAGTCCTCTTTCTCATGAGTATGCACAAACATTTAGAAAACGGAAGTTTTGGTTTTCCTGAGAACAAGTAGCTGGTATTAAAACAGAGGCAGAAGATGTGACAGAAGCTAAACGGGGGAAAACACATTTTTCATATGTTTTAAGAAAGGGAAGGCAAAAACTTAGTTCCCTGCCTAGGGAATTTCTGGGAAAGAATATAAAGAGTCAGAATCTGATTAGATCAGAAATGGGTAATGAAATAACCAACTGAGCTTTACTACAGGCCAGCAGCAGGTAGCTTAGCTTTCATAAAGGGAGCTTTAATGAAATAGGAGCTGACACAACATGGACCTTAAGCCTCCATTTCACAGCAACGTTGTGTGCAAGGATAATTGGGAACAGAAAGTCAACTTAATGTCTTTTTGTTTAGAAGAAAGGTCAGAGAAAGCCAGTGGATAAAAATAGTTGGATACTTCACTTCTGCCTCTGTATGGGCCACTGCTGCAAAAACTGATATTTAAAGCTGCTTTCGTCTCTCTTCCTAATACCCTATCATCTAGTGTTCACACTACAGGCTTTTTGTAAGTAACGTGTCATGAACCTCCAACAGTGTTTTTCCCTGTTGGACTTTGAAATGTTGTCAAACTATAGAATATGTTCTTAGTCACGGCATTCGCATCTAAAACTTCAACACATTTATTCCCAGAGACACAGACTCAGTGCACCTGCTTGATGCCTTACCAGTGCCCCAAAGAAGAAAGCCGCCTTCACTGCATCCGTATGGAGTCAACAGGGAGAAAAAGGACAGTCAGTCATTGCGTCCTGGCAGCCATGAAGTGTGCTGGCGTCAAACTGGAGGTTCTGGAGCAGGGGAGCTGTCTGGTGTAACCCATCAGCTCTCCTGGCAGCCACCATGATTATCCCACTGTGAGCAGGCTGAGCTACCCTGGGGAAAACTCAGCTGGTTGTGAAAGGATAAGTAGATTAAAAACAAAGAATGAAAAAAAAAGCCCAGAGCTTACTTAACAGATTTGTGGGAGAAGGCTGGCAGTGGGCTTTTTTTGGTCTGAAAATGATCTGGGGTGTGTGATATAAGGACTACTATCATTGCTGGCGATTCTGTGGATGTACAGAGAGAGGGAGGGGAAGGGAGAAAGAGGAGCATTGCCTCTGGTCTGCTCTCATGCTGGATGAGACTTTTCCTTTCCTGAGTCATTTGTTGCCCTGTCCTCCACTTGTGACTGCTGTGCACCCTGGTCGTCTTGGTGACTGAGTACTAACTGTATCATCCAGGCAGGCAGACTTTGGCATCATTGCACATTCCCTCTGACACCTAATGGGTTCATGAAGAAGACTACCTATCTGGGAACTCATGGTTTAAATTCAAGGAGAAATAAAAAAAAAAAAAACAAAGAAAACCATAAATGTGCAGTGAGTGTGTGAAGTTTTCAAAACCATAAGATTTTTAATCAGAGTAACTGAAGGGAGGAAATATTTACTTTCTGGGTTGGTTTGTTGGTTTTGAGCCTTAGACGCTGTTGAAGAATTTTTATGGTACCCCTCAAGTTGAATTAAACACACATTTGTGCTTAAATGTAAAAGAAAAAATTAATGAACAATGCATTAGGCAGAGTCCTATCACAATATTACATGGTTCTACATGGAGTCTGCAAAGATGCATCACAAGATTCCTTAAATGCACTTGCACCAGCACCAATCCTGAAAGCAGTTGCATGGGGCACCTCAGCTTGGCTGCGGGTTCATCTCCCAGCCCAGCTCTGCTGCCCAAAGATGGCCCCTGAGCTTGGGCCCATATACACTTCCTTTCCAGGATGACTACAAGACAATGCTGAGACTGTTCTTATCTAATCACCAAGGAAAACTTCAATCCTTTGCAAGGAGTTGTTCTTTCTCTGGCATTTCTAATTCCAGCCAGTTTAACCCCTTCTTGTAGTTGGGCCTTCTTACCTTCCATGCCAGATCATTCCTTGGTCACAAATTACCACTGCTGAGCAGTTATAATCAAAATTTCCCCTTCAACACTCAAAATTTCACAAAACTGAGGATCAGAAACATGCCACCCAAGAAGGGGAAAGCTGAAAGTCACTTTCTTTCACCAGCACTCAGCAGAATAACAAAAATCAAGAAATAATAAAAGCATGAGAAATGTCCATTGAGGAATAACCTGCCCTATGAATAAGCATCACACCTTGCCAGGGACTGGTCAGTCACTTGGAGCTGGGAGTAAGATTCATTTGAAATGGTTATTTTCCTCCAAGGAGATGTCAGATCCCTACATTTGGGATGTCGCCAAGCTCCCTAAGTCAGCAACTAGTCTCAACTGGGGGAGCTCAAGGAAAGAAGCAATTAATCCTGCTGCTAAATCTAATAAAGCATTATGTTTTCTTGCTTAAAATGTGTAGTAAAAATTATTATAAAAAACTGAGATAGATTTGCCTTTGTAGTTCTGTAGCTCTTTCCTCCAACTGAATATACATGTGAATATGCTGGTGATGGTCTGGGAGAGGGTTGCAAATGTGATTGTCCCCATATTGCCCTTACTTCTTCTCGTTGGTTGCATTCCATGGGGGAATAATCACTGAGGATGACTATGTATGCCTTCTGCACCCTCAGCAAGCAATGAAGATTTCTTGCTCCTGACTCTGTAACCTTAATACTAGCTTTCATTATAGGATGCTGATTCCAGTATAACTGTCTAGCAACGTTTCTGATAGGAGAAATTTTTTTTCCCTGACACTTCTCACCATGATAAATTGACAGATGAATTTATTTCCTGATAAACAGAAGGCAGCTGAGAGCTCCCTGGATGCCCCCATTTCTCCAGCACCTCCAGTCTCAGAGTGGTTGTGTGCTATGCAAGCACTCGTGTTAAGACTTGCGTTGTCCTCTGTTGCTGATGAGGATAACTCCCATAGGTTCTGTTCTACAGTTGAGCGTTATGGTACAGAGTGGAGATATCATCTGTCACTCACTAATAAGGTGGTGATTCAGCCATAAACTGAATCCAGAGGAAATATTCAGCTTGGTGAAATTAGTGGGAGTTTTGCTGTTGGCTTCTGTTGGCTTCTGTAGGGTCAGGACTGCATTCGCAAGGATTTCAGTTTTGTTACTGTGCTCTGTCATAGAGATTTCCAACCCTCATGTCAAAGACTGCAGCTCTTTAATGTTTCCTGCAACATCCATCTGTTTCTGGGATAAGCTCTCCTGTTCTACTGTGGTAACTTATATTAGGAAATGATAGTTTTCTTGTTCACTCATGGCAGGAAAAGCTGTCTCTCCTTTGCCATTGTAAGCTCCAAGTAATGTTATCATGTGGCTTGATGGATCATTGCCTTGGGTCATAAATTATAATTGAGGAAGATGAAGCTAACCTGAACTGAATCTGTCAGGGACCAGGGTCACAGAGACCTTACCAATTCTCAAAGGACAGTTTTCTCAGTAATGCAGCTTCTCTACTGCACAGAAAAATCCCATCTATTTGTTCTCAATGTCAGAGAAGAGGCATTATCCAAAATGAATATAATGAGCCTTTCCTCTGATGCAAAGTTCCATACTACATCTCAGCATATCTAATTTTTCACTAGTACAAGAGTATGTGAAGTGTATGTAAAATACTCTTACCACTGCAAGACAGCTGAGGCACAATTCAATGGCTGGACAATTAGCAGCTGCTGTTGTGGGCTTCTGTATAAATAATTACTGAGATTGTGACATAGAACGCAAAGCTTGACCAAATATAGAAGCAAACTGAATATATATAGCGTCTGTTATAATGTTTATCCTTCTGCAACCTCAGAAAGGGGTAATCCAGAGTTTGCTTCAAGGGTTTGAAGATGAGGCAGATATACAGGTTTAAGTAGTAACCATCGAACTTTTGCCAAGGGACCATTGCTTAGTTATAGCAATTACTGTTTCTTGTTACAGCTGTGAGAGAAAACATCTTGTATTAAATGTTTGAGTCCCAATGTTTTTATTTCAGCTGCTATGTGAGAGGTAAACACCTCTTAAGAATCACAGCATCACAGCTAAATATCACTGTGACTATTAAAGGCAAAGTTGCTAGATGGAATTAGCACAGTAGAAGATGAGTACCAGAACTTTTGCTAGTGCCACCTTGCCGGCGAGTGGTGAAGCAGAGGCAATCTCAGCCAATTTTTCCCACTGGGTTCCTGCAGAGCTCATGGCTGTCCAATGCACTCCTGGGCTTGTACTCCAAGGAGCGCAAGGATGCATCTCCAACAGCAGCACAATTTGTGGCATTCATGATAGCTCCAGCTCAGCCTGTTCAGTTTATGTATTCAGAGGAAGAGGTCCATCATATTTCTCCTCACCCAGAGGTCTCCGAGCAGTAGGTTTTGGCTAGTTGCTTCAGAAAACCAAGGCTTCAGTTGTATCTGTAACAAAACTGACTCAACTCTGCTGGTGGAATGGGATAAAGATGCTAAAAATATAATTGCTTATAAGTTAAAACTTCACTATATTTAATAAACTCTCTGCTCAGGGTGTCAATTTTACTATAAGGGGACTTTCAGCTGGCTCCCATGGCTCTGTGTGTTCATGCATGGGTAGGTGTGAAGATTTCCAACATGGAGGGGTTTGGGTAAGCTGATCTTCCTGTTGTCGTTACTGGGAGTGAGATGCCCCTAAAGTTGTATATCTGCATCCAAGCTAATCATCTTTGGCTGTCCTTTTAGTCAGAGAAGGAAAGAAACAGAGCCTCAGAAGACAGGATTTCTGTCTTCTTAGGTAAACATCTAAAAACAGGCCAGATGAGTCATGCCCTAAACGTGCTGTCTTCTTTGACAGGTTGACTGTGAAGGCAGTTGCAGGGTGACTAGGTCAGGCTCAAGTATTTATGCTATGGATCCCTAAAATTGGATGAAATTAATCCTGCATTTTCTATTTTTAAAATTGTGTGTATGTGTATATATGTATTTAAAATATATATATATATAGTTGTAACATTTAATTTCCTGCACTGGACTGTTCTTCTTCTAGATCAGTGGCATTTATATTGCTGCTTTTCAGGATCAACTGGCTCCATCCACAAAGGAAAAAGCTGTTGTGAGGCTCAGCATTGTGATAGCTCGAAGTTAGAGACTGGCTCCCAAAGCTGTGCTGAACACCAAGGAGGTGCTTGTGCCTCCTTCCTACAGCACGCTCCGTGAACCAGAAACTGCCAAGTGTTATTTCCGTGTGAGTGGAAGAGACGAGACACGTGTACGAGACACAGCCAGCCACCAGCAAAACGGGAGTGGGATTATTTTAGTGCATTGCACCTCACTCATTGCCCGATGGGGTTTGGGCCACAGTTGTCCCAGGACCCAGTTCCAGCCCCCCACAGCCATCAGGACCTGCCCTGCCTTGCCACGGACACTGGGACACGTTGACCGTAATCCCTGCCCATGGGCCAATGTCCCGGCTCTGGCCTGTTCCCATCCGGGAGGAACCCGGTGCTGGGGCTGCTCAGCTCCTTGAGTGTGGGGTGGGATAGGGGCTGCCGGGTGCTGCCTGCTGCCGTGGGGGCCCTGGGAGACTCTGGCCCCTGCGGTGCCCTGACAGGGAGGTAAAGAAGTGCCCGTTGAGATGGAAGTCATAAACGCGTCAGCAAGTGCAGACTTCCAGTGATGTTTTCTTTACTGGTTTCCGAGGAGCTTTCTCCCTCTACCACTTTCTGCTGCTGGCGACTTACTAAAATAATAAAAAGTCTACCTCGTTTGTTAGATCTTTCTGTGAGCATAGCGTAAATAGAGTAGCTGATACAAGAGCCTTCGTTTTCCCATGGTGATATCTCACTTTTCAGGCAAATCAACTCCAAAATCCATCATCGCACATGAGTGATTGTGGGTAACTGGGCACCCATCGGGAATTTTGGGTCTCTGATGAACAAGTAGGTCTTGTCAAATGCTGCCTTGGAGACTTCATGCCCTGGTCAATGTGACCTGTGTGTTAAAACCC